CTCTCTCTCTCTCTCTCTCTCTCTCTCTCAACATGTAAACTCTGTTACTGCCCCAGCATCATGCCTGCCGTGCCTCCCTTTAGGATGGTCATGAACTTTAGCCCTCTGGAACTAGGAACCCCCAAATTAAAAGCTGTTTTTGTTTCTGAAGACAGGGTTTCTCTGTGTAGTCCTGGCTGTCCTAGAACTCACTCACTCTGTAGACCAGGCTGTTCTTCAACTCAGAGATCCATCCGCCTGTCTCTGCCTATTAGCTGTAGTATTAAGGTCACTCCACGTAGTTAAAAGGGAGTCTTATTTTGTGGGGTAACTTACAAGTGAAGGGATAGGTTACAGGGTCCAGGAAAGGTGTAGCGAAGTCCAGACGTGTTCCCTGGAAAACTCTGCTTGGTCTACCTCCAGCATCCAGGATCCAGGAACCAAGAGCCGGCACACCTGGATCTCGGGTCTTAAGGGCTCCTGTCTTGGCCCTACCTTATAGGCTGGCCTCAAACTAAGAGATCCACCTGCCTCTGCCTCCCGAGTGCTGGGATTAAGGGTATGTACTACCACTGCCCAGCTATAAGCAGCATTTTAAAAAATTAACCACAAGTGTAATTTCACAAATTAAACTTTTTATTTTAAAAATTATAAGGAATATCCATTTGTATTTTAGGACAAACCTGTTTTTATTTTTCAGTTAAGGGTAACTGTCTAACTCTTCCTAGGCAGGTTGTAGAATACCAAAATTGACAAGAAAAAAGTAAGTCAAATCATCTTTGCAATACAGATTTATTTCTAATAATCATGATGATGAGAAAAATCAATAATCCCCCAGCCTGATTTTTAATGAGGATCTGGCTGCAGAGAACATGCAACACACTGCAATAAAACCAAAAGAATAATTTGAATGTTTCTTAAAGTTCTTCAAATAAAGGGAGAGAAAAAGCTGTTTGCTACTGTCAGTGAAAAGCATTTATTTGTACTCTACAAAGACTTTTATTTACTTGCAAAAACTGTGTGTGTGTGTGTGTTACACACACAGTGGGTATGTGTGTTACCATTAAAATGTTAGCAGCGGCTCTTGGGAAAGGGGATTCATTAGTCAGGGCCCTCTAAAGGAACAGAGCTAGTGATGAAATTCACAAAGTTTCTTTACCGAAAGGTCCTCTTTCCAACAGAATTTCCAGAATTAATGTGACCAATTCCAGCAATTTATTACCAAGTTTAAGGAAAGTCGAAGTTTGTAACTCAGCTAGATGTTACAACCAGGATTTCTAACACGGTATAGTATTTCCTTTAAGATATGTTTAGGAAGGAAGCATATTTGAAAAACTGTTTTGGTGCCCTGTGGAAGCGCAGACAGGCTGGATAGACAGATATCTAACACCAATGGATCCCCCCACACACACACAAACGAAGGTTCACAGCTGAAAGGTCTTGCTAAGTTTCTGCAGAGATACTGTGAGGAACTGTAGGGGAGACCGTTGGCTGGTAGCAGGAGTTCAAGTTGGCAGAAACCAGCATACTTTCACTGAATGACCCACCAGGAGGCACCTGTCCCCAAAAGGCATGGAGGCAGTTGTTGAGGGCAGGACTGTTCATTCAAAAGCTGTGCTCTGGGCTCTGTTTTCTAGCATGGCAAACAAGCTCTGCTTACAGAGCTTCTTGGCACCCAGAGGTGGCTCTCAAGACAGGTAAGTTCAAAGGTCACTGAAAGTGAACAATAAAGTCATGTCTTGGATGGAGCATAAATCTGATTTGGTTTATTTTTTTCATAATGATTTATGGCTCTCAAAACAGTTGTCAGATTTTTTTTTTTTTTGAAAAATTCAATGTTGCTTCAAGGAAGTAACTGGAATGTATTTATGTTAAAAGATAAAATTGAAACTTTTACTTAAAAAGCTAACATGAGGAAACAGAGTGAAAATTAGTTCTTTAGAGATGTTTATAGTAGAGATGATTTTATAATGAAAAATAACCTCCTCAGGCAGAGAATATGGATAGCTCAAGGGTTAAGAGCACTTGCCCTTCAAAAGACTCAAAAGACCCAAGTTCGGTTCCTCCACCCCCATGGTTGGCTCACTAGCCCCCGTAACCACAGCTCCAGAAGATCTGGCACCTCTTCTGGCCCCCAGGGCACTGTACACCCTTGATACACACATGCAGGCAAAACACGCATATGTATAAATTTTTTTCTGAAAATCTGATGGAGATTGCTCTCCCCAGAAAATCACAAGTTCATATTCCTTCACCTCCCAGTGCTATACGCTAAATGTCAAGAGCTTTACAAAGCACAAAGTCAGTTCAAGGGATTCCCTACTTAGGAATTCCTGAGGGAAAATTTTAGCAGTTTATCATACTGAACAGAAATCATGGAAAGCAACGCCTTCAATACCCCATTTCAATCCCTTACTCCACCTGAGACCCAGTTCAAATTCCATTTTACACATTATTTTTGAATGATCCAGTGTACATTGTATACAGGAAGAGTTGACTGGGATTCAAGAACAGACTTGTATTGATTCCTAAAAATTTTGAACAGGGGCCCATTTTTCTAGAGATGGTTTGAAAAGATTGTGTGTGTGTGTGTACACGCATGGACACACAGAGGTTCTTATGGTGCTACTTATTGTATGGTGTTTGTCTTAGCTATCACTGGGGTAGGAACTACACACTCCATCGCACCCACAGTAGATATTTAGGGTTTGTTGCCATGGAATTGCCCCCTTCAAAACCTTTCAATTATATTACACTGAATGATGAAACCAGTTACATTTATTGGCACCACGGGTGGTTTTGTTTTGTTAACAGATACACAGGTATCTTCATTAATGGCAGTGGAAGCGACATGAAAACAGCTTTTGAAAACAGAGTTGGGAGGCTCTGAAGGAAGCTATACAAAGCTCTGACCTGGACATCTGACCTTTGGCTGCCGCCACCCTTCGTCCACAATGACCACAACTGGGAAGGTTACATTGTATCCAAAGGTTCAAGATGCATACCAAAAGGTTACCGGACACAGTGATACAAAGGACACACTACCTTTCCTTTATCTTCCACAGGTCTCCTGGGGTGTGGATACATAACCTCTAAGCCAGTCTGGACTGGAACACCAAGCCATTTTTGATGTCCTAGCCTCCAGAGGACTAGGATTACAGGTGTCCTTCACCAGCCCGGCTCCTACGGGTCACCCAGGTGTTCATCCATATTAAATGCTCCACAATAAATTCCCACTTCTCTCACCTTCCTGGAATCTTGCTTAATTTACTTCAGTGTCTGTCCCCTCAAACTTACAATTCCCCAAAACACCCTCCCCAAAACGATTTCCTTCTCATCTTAGCCGCGTGACTAGAACAGATCACTAATCGCTTTCCAAGTTTACCAAAGCGGACACACAAAGTTTTAAACACAACTATCCAGCCGGGTAAACAAGCAGACACTGTTTAAACACACACACACACAAACAAACACCTCTCCCTCAAAGTCTAAGGCAGACTTAGCAGACACTGTTAAACACACACACACACACGCACAAACAAACACCTCTCCCTCAAAGTCTAAGGCAGACTTAAAACTTCCAGGAGGCGGGGAAAGCCCTACAAGGACTTAACTTCACGTCCTTTTTGCTTGTCTTTTCCAACTCAGGGCGACCCTACTTACTACAGGGTGAGGGACAACCTGGCACTTCCCTGCCCCTCACGGGGGGGGGGGGGATGCCATCTGCAGGAGCTGGAGGCAGGCAGGGCTCTTAACAAAAGGGCTCCCGGGGGGTGGAGTGGGGGGGACAGGGATGTCCGCGATGTGCCCGGTCGGTGCAGGCGACACCGTGGGCCACCTTCCCTCCCGGACCCGATCGCAGCAGCGGCGGCGGCGGCTCGTCCTCGGGGTGGAAGGAGAGAGATCGAGCGAGCCCAGGGCGGCCGACACCCCTTCCCGTGGCCCCGGGGTCCGCGGCCCGCCGCCGCCCCCTGCCCAGCACCCACCCCGCGCGCAGCCCCGGGGCGGCGGCGGCGGAGGAAGCGGCGCCGAGACGGAAGCGTTCCCCGCGGGTGAAAGGTCACCGTGCCCGCCCGGCCGCCCGGCCTCCCGCGGCGTCGGGCAGCTCCGCCGGTTCCCTCCCGGGGGGCTCGGGGTAGGGGGGAAGCGGGGCGCTCGCTCGGCGGTTGAGCCGTCCCGCAGCCGACTTACCCCTGCCGCCGCGGCCGCCGCTGGGCTGGAGAGAGCTGACGCGAAGGGGGGGAACCCGAGGCCGAGACCGGGGAGAGCGGGGGACGGGGGAACGGGACGGACGAGGGGAGCTTTCCGGGTTTGGGAAGACTTGGGGG